TTGCATGAAGCAAAAAGAAGGGTATCGGCTTCTTCATGGTCAGTTGTTAATTCTGGCAAAGTTTGTGTGATTACTTCATTTGTGTCACTATGAGGACACAGCATGAAACATCCTTGGCTAAATGAAGCAATCACAGTTTTTCCATGAAATTCTTCTGCTGGCTATTTTTTCCAATGCATCAACATAAATAAGATGAGGGATTCTTTATTTTCACCAGACATGAGGAATTTTTGAAATTGTACCGGTGTTTTCTGTTTTTCATTCAGAGCACGTAACAGGTGGCATGGGTTAATCAAACAGCATCTTCTTTCAGAGTCTTTAATACTCCATGGATTGTACTTATCACAGACAAAGTCAACTCTTGATGACATAAGTAGAAGCAAGCTTGATTACATATCTAAAAACATAAATACTGAGCTCACCAAACCTTGATGGAACATGGTCTGCGAGCTGTTGTATTACTGCCATTCCATCTAATATCAGTGCTGCATTTTTTGGAATATTGTTAATTTTCATATCAGGAAACTTTACAAGAAAATAATGAAATAATGCAGCTTTGTTGGTACGCTGCAAAGAACCATCAATGTTACTTAGGCTAGATGGGAACTCTGAAAGGCAATGTGAAAAAATTTCTTCCAGGTTAACTTTTCGGGTGGTTTCTACTATAAGAAGCCTAGTGAGAAGGTCTTTATCTGCTTTCAAGCAATCTGCTTCCTTCTTGCTCTTTTGTTGTGAATGCTTTTTCTGAAGATCACTAAAAGTTCTTATCTTCATTGATTTTAATGGTGCATTCAACTCCACATTTTTCAAAATTAGTCGTTGTTGAACAAACTGATTAGAAATATTACAGCCTTGTTCATGTGCTCAAAAATGTCATCTTTAATTTCAGAAGATGCTACTTGGCCAGATGCAATGTTAATTAATTCTTTCACAATATGCAAATGGATTTTGCATAGACTCAATTGTCTGCATGACACTCTGAATATCTGCTTCATCCTTTTGATATCGAGAACTACTCAGGTCTTTTTTATTATGGCAGCCCTCTCCTTTTCCAGCCATTTCAGTACAGTTTTTAGAGATTTGAGTACGTTGATTAAAAGATAAAATCCAACGATGAACAGCATTGTCATTATTTGAGAATCCAATCTGCCCACCTCTGTTCTTGCTATCTCTATTCATTGTCTGTTCAATCGTCTGGTCCATTGCCGTCTGACTAAAGTGGTACTGGTTTTGTTTCTGAACTACAAAATCCCCAGCAGCAAGATGCTTTGCTATTGCAGGGTGGGTATCTGGAACAGCAAGCATCTCATAGATATAAACAGGAAGATATCTAGCATAGTTCAAATGGTCATATGCAAAATACCAAAGTACCATTTCTGCTGCTGATTTAAGGTGAAGGGCCCAATCTCCTGTTCGTGTAGCATGAATAAAATTTAAAAACAAATCTGCCATATTCAAGTAACTCATCCAAAATGCAAAAGTTGGAAATTGGCTGCATCTCTTTTGAATAAATAAGGTTAGTTTGCTTTCAAACTCTTTAAAATCATTTGATGTGCAGAGATCTTGGAATTGTGTTTTGGGAAAAGCATAATATAAATTTTTTAGACAATGCAATGAATTTAGCTTTTTCTTCTTCACTTTGTGTTTCAATAAAAGTAGATAGGAGTTTCCTCCTTAAGGCTTCAGACATAATTTTTATGACTGACACTTTGATTATAGTGCCTGCCTTTCATGACTCCAGGTATTGATCCTTGTGCCACTGTTCCAGCTTCAAGTAGGACATCAGCTAGCCCTGAATCTTCAAAGCGCTTTTCAATGACACTGAGAAACGACATGCAGGTGTGGAACTCACCAAGTCTGACAACTGTTTTTTGCATATACATGGCATCATTCCAACGTACTTGCTGTGCTTTAGCATAAAATGCAAGATCAAATGTTAATACAATACATTCAGTTTCAAGCTCATCAGCAATAGCAAGACTTTTTAAAAAATACTGCATTCACAGTACTTAGTTGAGTTGGGTTACCATTGACCACAGGCAAATATCCAATATTGCTTTTTGGTGGTATTTGGTTCTGTAATAAAAAAGAATATTGAAACCTGTCCAACCTGGAATTGGAGTAGTGTTTTGGTTGTCACTTTCACAGTGCATATTGATCATGGTCATAGCCAAATCAGTAATGCTTGTTTTGGTCTCACAAAATGATTTAAATAAAGCATTTTGAATGCTGCCAATTGAAACTGAAGGTAGGGAAGGGCCTACTCTTTTTGCCACATGAGTTATTTCAGTAAAAGAAATAATTTTTTCACTCGTATTAATTGACTCAAAATGTATTGCACAAATATTCGGGGAATTCATTTTCGCCGTATTTTAAAATTTTTGAATTTAAGGGAGATAACTACTAGCCTAAGAAACGTCATATTTGCTCAATTATTACCTCCCTTACTTGATTTTTTTATGCTCAGATTTACCGATAAAATATTCAATTTAAAATGCAATTTATAAAAAAATGCGCAATTCTCACCTGTAGAACTTTTTAGATTTAGACTCTACGGCATCGAAACTCCCTAAATCAAGTAAAATTTTTTCATACAAATTTTATGTCCACGGAATGAAACGAAAATCGACCGTGGCCTATAGCCTATTAGTAAGACAGGCGTCTATTATTTTTTGTTTATATAGAATATCGTTCATTGTGATATTCTCTCCTTTGTGTTCTTTATTATTGAATCAGAGATTATGAATTCCTTACCTGATTCAAGTATTGAACTCACGACCATTGGATAACAGCAACATTTGATTGCTGACCTCAACATCCACTACGAACGACATCAGCCGTGTGATTTGGGAATATTTTAATCGATGTTTTTATGGCAATGGATTCGTATCGCTTATTTCGTATTTCATTTGTCAAAGAAACAGTTATACTCAGATAATTGACTCAGACAACCAAATATAAACTTTGACAGGTTGTGGTAACCATTAATCAGGAAAACTAGTCATAAAGTTCGGATTAAAATGGAATAGCTGGAGAAGTGTATGCGATGTGACGAAGACAGAACAAAAGACAATTGGAGACTGTCCTCAAGACGCACAAACACAAGACTCCAGATGTGACGAATATGAGAATGGATGCGCATGTCCCCCCCCCTTAGAACAATGTAGCACAGTGGAATGGTCTTGTTGCTTGATCCTATCGAGTATGATTCTTCGCTTTTCTACAATAACGTTGACGATAGTGATAACATTTGTATCTGGCTATGATGATGGTGGTCACTTTCTTTCTTCTACTTCATTTGGAAAATATCGAATTCTGAGGAATTCTCTCTTAGTTGCTTTTTTCGTAATATTCTTTCTACTTTCATTTCTCATTTCCCCGCTTTTTTGTTGAATATATTCATTCTTTAGTCTTCTCTTCAATTAAGCTGTTACAGGTTTTAAAGGGGAAAATTGTGATTTCTATTTGAATTTTGAGTATGACGGTTTGTCATTATTTACACTATTTACATTTGGACTATTGTCCTCATCTTTGTTGTTATCACAACTTTTCGGCCGTTATTCCCCCCGGGCTTCATCAGGTGTATATTGTCTTGGATAACCTACAGGAAGTTAAGAACACTTTATTTAATTATGCGAACAAACAGACTTCAATCCCTGAGCTTGATAGTGTGAACTCGAACCCAGTCGAAACGGGCGAGCAATAACTGAGAACTACTAAAAATAAGAGCCAGACGATTTCACTCTCCTGGAAGTGAAACGAGAATAGTCTAATCTCGTAGATTAAATAAGGAGTTCAGTTCAGAATTCCTTGTAGGTTACTCAGATCGATATACACCTGATGAACACCGGAGAGCACAATGGCCGAAACGTTGCGATAACAATAATAATGACAGTAGTCCGAACGTAAATAGTTTAAATAGATAAGAATTTTTTTTTCATTTTTTAAGGAAAACTTTTGTTTATTTCAAATTAAGATAGGAATAATTCTGTTTTTTCTCTCGACTGACTGAGCGCATTTACAAGCGCGCAAATCACTTTCATTGAGGATTCAAACAGAGGCAATAAATATTCAGAACTCCTTCCAATTTGTTATATCCTCCATTGGAAAAATTTCAATATATTTTTCGTTTTCCAAAGAAATATTCGTATCCCATTCCCTTATTTACAGATTTCCAGCAAAAAAATTGTTTTATCCCCCCCCCCCACCAAGTAGTACTGTTAAAAAAGAATTCATCAGTGAAACTTGCGACAACAATACTTCGACCTCAGTGTCATTTCTAATTGTGGTTTTTGTTATTTTGTTTTTAAATAGTCTTAGTATAATTGATAACACAACTTTAAAAGAGAGGCATTGATAGGGAACCATATAGATATTGCCAGATCTTAGTTTTCTGTTGTTTTTACTCTCGTCTGCAATCGTCATAAAGCAATACATGTCCCTCTGAGTCAAACAGCTTGGGTGTCTTCTCAGGGTAATGGAAATTACAAATTGTAGAAGATATTTAATTCATTAAAGTCCTGGGCCATACTGAGATAAAATACACTATACGTCTATACTAAGACCGGCGGCTTCTCTATGTAGCAATGCTGCGATCACGGGTAAATGACAAGGCAAATTGATCTAAATTTGGCATGAAGCCTCGCGAGACATCCTGATACGAGGGCACCTTGAGGCTCACATTTGAGGTAACGCGAATTCACCAGACATTGTCATTTCTGGCTAAAAGAAGCACTTAGAAAAATGGAATGAGATGTTTTTCGACCTTACAAATTGTTTGGCGGATCAGATAAGGTTACATCAAATCACTGGAGGCAGAATCTGCGAAATTTTTGATTGGTGCTGCAGATAAGAGAGATGATTCTTGCATTCCAATAACTTAAAGATTCTTTCACTTTTCTTCGTCGTCTCTGATTTCAATTCTATAGATTCCAACTGCATCAATGACAGGCAGTCTTCCTTTTTTTATATCTCGCTTTCTTATACGGTCGATACGGCAATCATTGTTGCAGACGGTGGTGGTGGCGGCGGCATTGAAGAAATTGGGGTTGGGCGGAGACGTTGGAAGGGTTACTGGAAGTGCTCACTCCAGTGGGCAAGGCAACTATGATGACGCCGTCTCTGGGCCATATGTGGGTGACCTTCTTCTGAGGGCCACAGCAGGCACTGCGCAGAAGGCAGTAGATCAGGCTATGATCATTGCGGCGGGTTTGGTTTTCAAGTTTTGCTGCCTCGTTGTCCAAGTATGGCTCGCTGTTGGCCTTGAAAGAGATGTACCGTGCAATGTTCAGTCTGCGGTACTCGAGGATGTCATTGCAGCGAAGAGCACGGCGATACTCAACGTTGTGGGAAGTGTTGCCGGAGAGCCAGGGCTGGCGAGTGGTGATGGTAGGCCGTTCGATAGTTTTGCTAGCGATCTCCGTGGATGATGACTTCGTAGACTAGTCACCAGTATCATCATTTGCCAGCGCAAAGGAGTTGTCGACATTGAGTCCAGAGGTGGGATGTCCAAGACGACATGAGTCAACCTTGGGATGATGTCTGTTGGCTGGGTTGGTCTTCAGGCATAGTCTCAAGATAGCGATGAAAAGCCTTAATGGCATGAGATTTAGGCAGGTACAAAGATTTATATGAGCGACAGTCGTGCTAGCAACGTTCCTAGGAGAAAGTGAAATGGAGATGATCAGATGTGGAAGACGTGATACTAACTTACCATTAGTGACTAAAAATTACCAGTTTACCATGACTGACAGTAGTGACCAGAAAATATTATTATTATTATTATTATTATATTATTATTAAATAACAAATATCATTATTATAATTTTTTTTTTCTTGATCTGCACCTATGTTTAGTCATAACCAGTGACCTAGTGTAAGCGAAGTATGAGATTTTTAATGCTTCCATTTAATTTTTAAAAAGACAACTATTGCAAAAGAATTTTGAATGGACAAAGCTCTTCACAGGTTATGGGCTATGGTTGTAAGAAATACTTTTTTATTTCCTGGAGAGATAAAGGAACTAGGGATTTTGTTGATTTGTTGAGTTCCTTTCTTTATCAAACCTAAAGCTCCAATCACGATAGGAATGTCTTTAGTTTTTAGATGCCACATTTTGTTTTATTTTTCATTAGTAGGAGGAAGGAATGTGTTTTTCTAAATATCGTGAATTATACAAGCCACAAAGTTAAAGCGTATGCCTAACTTTTTGCCTAGTCGATTAAGAGATTTCACAAAATTAGTGCATGCCATAGTTTAAATACAGATCCGTGGGTATAACATTTTTTCATCATTGTTTCTTAGACTTTTAGTTCTGAAGCACAAAATTAACTAACCCCAGTACCAGAGATAGGGGACCTTTCACTAGACAATCATTTCCCTTTGGGAGGAGGTGATGTCTTTGAGTCAACCCAAAAAGGAGAAATACCATGGAACTGGACTGCTTTTGGGATCCTGTTCCAGGAGGTGTATGTAGGGAAATGCGGGCCCATTGCAAGGCACTGGTTAATCTTCGGTGTTATGGGGTAAATAGTATAAAACCAGATGAACTAGTACATAACTATAAAGAGCTCCAGGTTAGAGGTAAAAAGACGTTTAGAGTATCTTCAGGCTAATCAATACAGGTGGCACGACAATTTGTCAAAGCATTATTGAAATTATAATCACTATGAAATGTGTCATGACAGTGGCGACATGGGATTCGGAACTCGAGCAATTTCTCCTCATGACGAGGATTCGGAACTCTTACGACTTATAAACAGTTACGAGGATTTTGTAAACTCCTACTGAGTGAACAAATACAAGAAAATATACTTGTTGCTTCAGGAACAAGGATACAGGTGACAAGAATTTTAACCACGTTGGTTTAAATTTTTTTTCTTGTGACATTTTTTCCTCTTGTGTGTAGGAAAGAAAACATTCTTGCAAATATGAAGCAAATTTTGACTTCGGTAGTTCAAATTCAGCAACAAAATCAACAGTTGTTAGAACTACGAATAAAAAGCAACAGGAGTTGTTGGATATAATTCTGAAAAATAAATCTCTTACGCTAGACGCTGTCCAAAGCATCATATCAGAATTTGTATGCAATCCTGATGAGGAACTGACTGTTTCTGCGAATTTTCGTAGATATTAACAAATATTCAGTCAAGAATGCAGCGGCTGGGAAGATGAGAGAAAAATGAGATTGTCGTTGAGGGAAATAGCACTGATAGTATGAAAATACTATAACTACGTATTACCGAAAAAAACAGGAGGACATATGATTTGAAGACAGTACACATTTTGAGGAAAATCTTTAGTGACAAGTGCAATCTGTTTAATGCTCGTTGGAGGTTCATGAATCTAACAAAAAAAAGGAAAATTTTTGTCACGTATGTTCGCATCATCAACAAAGAATGTGAAAAATTTTGAGTAGAGAAAATGACACAAGGTATGTTCAAGGGGTTAATTTTCGTGCAAGGTTTAACAGCTAAAAATGATGCTGAAATACGAGTGAAAGTTTTAACGAAAATTGAAAAAAACAGTATTTCACTGCGAAAAAAAAAAATTAATACAAGCAAAGGACAAATGTATAAAAAAAAGAGTAAATCCTTGTTGCAGATGCGGTAAATTGCATCTTGGGAAAGACTATTTAATAATGCATAATTTTACAAGTGTGGTGAACGAGGACATATAGTCACACTGCAAAACCGAATCGAGAAAAAATCTTACATCAAGAAATTCGTACACAGCATTGGGACGAAATAAAGGGTTACAGAAAATAGTGAAACTTGCGAATTTGAAAATGTGTGTGTGAAAATGATATAGGACACTGGTAGTGATATTTCAATCAGTGAAATCACATGGCCGGAGTTTGGAAAACCGTATTTAAAAGGACTTAAAAAAAAAAAAAACTTTCAGTTTCTGGTGAGAATTTTTTTTGTAATGACTTGTAATATCTTATTTCGTAATAAGTCTATAAAAACTAAAGACTATGTATTAAAAATGCTACGAATTTACTCGGGTATTGACCGTGTGGAACTATTTGAACTTCGGTATTTACCTATAAAAGTTTATTGTAGAAGCGTAAGTGAACAAGCGAGCAATTTAAAGTCAGCGAAAATCTTTAGGAAGAATTAAATGTTTTCCAGATTTCGACTAAAGTCGAATTACTGGGATTTCTACTCAAGTCACGTTGTGCAATTTTCTTAATTTGCAGAAATGTAGGCATTTGGTTTTCGTTTTGGAAAAGTTAAAAACATTTTCAGTGGCCCGTTTGTGTATTTTATTTAGGCATTGTTGAAGTTGTCTTTCTATGGTATGCCTATGTGGAATTTTGTATATTAGAAAATTCTCGACTTATAGTGAGCATCTCACTCCTGGGCTTGATGATTTAACTATGGAGTGAAATTTACGCAGAATAGTGTCACTGAAAGGACGTTACCTTGTAGAACCCCTTCCTGATTTTGAAGTTCTGATAGGGTAATTCCAGTAGGAACTTGAAAACTTTGGTCTTCCAGTTCGTGCAGATCTTTCAAGATACCAAATTTCCGTCTTGTGTCGTACGCCTTTTATAAATCAAAAGACTGCCGTGAGATCTTTCTTAATGAAAGCTTTCCTTTACAAAGGCTTATAGGAGTATGAAGTGGTCCATGGTTCTTTTTTTTTCCTAAAAGCACATTGAAGTCACTAATTAAGCCTTTAGTTTTCATATATCAAGTCAAAATGTTGTTGACCATTCTCTCCATAGTTAATGATCTGTCTAGTTTTCTGGGTCATCTTTCCAGGTATGGGAATAGGGATGATAAATGCCTGTCTCAACATTTCGAGGAAGTTGCCATTTTCTTAATAACAGTTGTAATCATTTATGTTGGTTAACTGTTTTCAGAATTCGAAATGGATATCATCTGGGTCCACAGCTGTATTGTGGGATTTCTTTAAAGATTAATTTAGTTTCTCTAGAGTGAATAGTAGGTTATAGCTCTCGGCCTTATTTGACTTAGTTTTTTCCCGTTTTATGATTGAGCTTTAGAAACTGTTGGCTACCGTTCTTGGCAGAGGAATTTTTAGAGATTGTTTTAGGTAGTTGATCAGCGATATCCTTTTTGCTGGTTATTTTAGAATTATTTATCGAGGTGTTTCACGGTGTTTGGTATTTACCTGCTATTTATCAAATTACAGACAAATTGTTTTTGTAGCAGAACTGAGTCTGTTGACGTAGTTTACCCAGCATTCTTTTTTTGGTTTCTTTAATTATTATCCGTGCGTTTGCTCGGAGTTGCCTAAATTGCAGCAAGTTAAAGGTTTTAAGTTGTTTGTTGAATTCTCTCAAAGCTGATTTTCTTAGCCTGATGGCTTTTTTACAATTCTCATTAAGCCAAGGACTGTTGCGTTTTTTGAAGGGAATGCATTTTCTAGCTCTAGAGTGGAGGATTTCCGGGAAATGTTATAAGCCCTCGATGCTTTTTTTTTTCTTCAACTAGTTTCTCAGAACATTGCATTTTAAATTCTTCCCAGTTAGCTCCGCCTAATGTCCAACGGAGAGGGGTTTTTGTCATTAGATTCTGAGTTGTGGGACAATGAGCAAGTGATCGCTACCGCATGTGTCTCCCAAGAGAAATCCATATAAATTGATGGGTCACACAGGGATAAGTCTGTTACCAAATAGCTGCCAGTAAATGGATTTATCTCAGTCTGTGTTTTATCATTAAATCGTTGTTCTTCATTATTGTTTCTAAGGGCCTTCCCTTTTGATTTGTCTTTACAACCCCATATGGTGCTGTTACAGTTAAAGTCTTCGAGTATTATAAAAAGTACAGGGTTATTCCTATGAATACAGATATGCTATGATAAAACATTTCTATCCCAAGTAAAAATCATCACAAACATATCAAAAGTTATTTTGTTACACTACAGCCAATTTGAACTGAAAAAAAATAATTGAAAAATGACTTTTGTCATCATCTGAAGAAAATATCAAGGAAACTTTTGATCTGCACCCCATGAAACTAGGTATTTCCTGAAAGCAAAGAATGCTTTTACATTACAAGTGAAATTGGTTGGCGTAAATGATAACATTTTTTTTCTGGGGATAAAATATGAAAAAATAGTTAAAATTACTATTCCTGAATACTGGAAACTTGTATTTTTTTATTTTCTTTATTTTTTAAAAATCAGCGATAAGTAAAACCGTGTTGAAATTAAGCCAAAATTGACATTGTTGGGTCAAAGGTCAGCCAGCCGACAATACCAAGCTGTCATCACTTTGTAAAAAAAAATTCCATTTTTTTTTTTTTTTTTTTTTTTAATCTGTTTGAACGATGGCTTGATGTATTTTTGTTTTTTAATTTTAAGCATTTCACCCCAACCAAGCCGGGAAGCCACTAGGAAGCAGGGGGTTACAGAGAACTTAGAGCAAGATCAGATAGGAGTGATAGAAGAAAGGATGAGG